AGTTCTTATAGAAAAACGCTTCGGTAGCGTATTTCTTAAAGAAAAACGTTCTGGAAGTGTAGTTCTTATAGAAAAACGCTTCGGTAGCGTATTTCTTAAAGAAAAACGTTCTGGAAGTGTAGTTCTTATAGAAAAACGCTTCGGTAGCGTATTTCTTAAAGAAAAACGTTCTGGAAGTGTAGTTCTTATAGAAAAACACTTCGGTAGCGTATTTCTTAAAGAAAAACGTTCTGGAAGCGTAGTTCTTATAGAAAAACGCTTCAGTAGCATATTTCTTAACGAAAAATGCTTCAATAGCATATTTCTTAAAGAAAAACGCTGCGGAAGTGAATTTTCTAAAAAAAAGATCTAGAGCGTAATTCTAAAAAAACGCTTTAGTAGTGTATTTCTTAAAGAAAAATGCTCCGGAAGCGAATTTCCTAAAAAAAACACTCCGGAGCGTAATTCTAAAGAAAAATGCTCTGGGAGCGTAATTTTTAAAGAAAAACGCTTTGGTAGCGTATTTTTTAAAGAAAAATGCTCTGGAAGCAAATTTCCTAAAAAAAATGCTCCGGGAGCATAATTCTTAAAGAAAAACGCTTCAGTAGCGTATTTTTTAAAGAAAAACGCTCTGGAAGCAAATTTCCTAAAAAAATGCTTCGGGAGCGTAATTCTTAAAGAAAAAATGCTTCAAAAGCGTAATTTTAAAAGAAAAATGCTCCCGGAGCGAAATTCTTAAAGAACAACGCTCTGAAAGCGAATAGCTTAAAGAACAACGCTCCAGAAGCGAAATTCTTAAAGAAAAGCACTTCAGAAGCGAATTTCTTAAAGAACGATACTCTAGGAGCGTAATTCTTAAAAAAAATGTTCTGGAAGCGTTTTTGCTTCAAGAGAATCAATTTGGAGACGTTTCTCTTAAAGGAAACTATTTCGGAAACGATTCTCTTGAAAGAAATCACTTTCCGGAACTTTTCAATTACTCTGAAATTTTTTTTCAGATTTTTGTTAATAATGTAAGCCATATGAGCCGGCTTGTTTGGCTCAGCTTGAGCCGATGGTGAGCCAACTCGAGCTGGCTTATGCGGAGCTTTAATCTCATGATTGGATGATCCAAAATCAATGAATGTTAACTTATTGGATCCGCCTAGTTTCAAGGAATCGAATGGTTTTTTAACGATACAGTACTGCTATAAGTTTATTAAAGTTTTTATAATATACTAAATAAAAAAAATTACAAAGTAGGAAAAAACAACTAAACTATGACTATCTCTCATAGTTTTATTGCTAATAAAAGCTCAAACCCGTTTAGATCGACTGATCACCGGAATCCCCTCTGACTTAACCAAGAAATCCATATTTAATGACTGAGCCGTTAATAAGAAATTCAAATGAGATTGTCAAGGAATCGAATAGTAGTTGTTTCATACGAATCAGAGTGATATTGACTGAGATTGTATATCTTTTGTTTTTTGTTTTTTCTAAATATGAAAAATCATGTGATATGATGTCATTTCGACTATTTTGCGACTTTAGCCTTCAATGGTCAAAATAATTTTGACCATTTTGACCATTTCGGATATCTGAAATGATTCATTTTGACTTCATGTTTAGCAGTAGCAGTAACTACAACTAATTCTACAGCAGCAGCAGCAGCTATAATAATAGTAAGAGCAACAGTTACTACAAATAGCTGAATCACTTTTGTTCTTAAACAGTTTTAATAATGAAGGAGAGAAAAAAGAAGAAGAAAAAAGTGGATACAAGCCAAACAAATTGGAAAATATATCATGATGATGAATAAAGATAAGTTTTTAAGTTAAAAATAATTTACTAAATATAAACATATATATAATTTTTGTTTCTTTTATACTTTTCTTTATAGTTATATTAAAATTACTTTAGGATTTGTCAAATATATTTTTTTTTACTTAACTAAAATGATTCAAAAAATTTTTTTAATTTTTTAAGCATATAAATTATGAAAAGTTACTGCCTTATTTATTTTATACAATTAATATTAAGGTAAATTAATTTATTTATGATTGTTATGATTGATAATATATCTGGATATATATCAATTTACTTGATTTAAAATTGATTGGTATCCAGGTCTTAACTTAAGAATGTCTAAAAAATACCTAGATATATTATCATGGGATACGATTAAAAGGGTCTCTTAGGCAATGCTTTACAATACTTGAAATTTAATATTTGATAAAATAAATAATATTAAATATATATACAAATTCATATTGTTAACTTTATATAACTATTAAATAAAATTAAAAAAATATTATTTTTAATATTAAATCACAAAAAATTCACAAAATTATTACTAATTTTTTTTTATAGAAAAGATATAAATATAAATTTATATTTATTATAATATAAAATTTTATTCATATTATATACAATTTTTAGAAATACTATAAAATTTTATTGAATTATGTGATTTAATTAAATCCAATATTAAAAATATATTTTTAATTAATAGGTTAGCAAAATGAAATTCTAATATAGGTTTGTTAGTATTTATTTTATCATAATTAAAATTTCAAGTTATATTATTATTATATGTTATTAAGTAATCATTTTAAATCGTATATATGTAAAAATGAAATAAATAAATAATAATAATAAAATAGCTTGAATTTTTATTTTATAATTTAATAAATAAAGATCAAATTTTTTTATTTGATTAAAAAAATTTTCTAAATTCTAGTATATTTTATAATAATTTAATAATATTATTTAAAAGATATTTATTAATATAAATAGAAACAAGACGAAATACAAGAATATCAAAATTTTCTAGCATAAGAGAAAGTAAATTTAGCAGAAATAATCTTTTCCTTGTAATAAATTGGTTTCAATATCAGTTGTTATGTAGTTTATTTTCTAGGAAAAAGGGGTTGTATTATATTGTCTCAGAACCCCTTTTTCTTAGCAAACCTCCTCATATACTATAAAAAACTCGCGATTTTCTTCTCTAATGTTTCGATTGAATAATTAATACATTATTATTTAAGATTATTGAATTGGAGATTCAATTGGATAGTCAATTAAATTAGCCTAAAAAAAATTAAAAAATTATCTTAAATTAGATTTAACGCTTTTTTTGGTCAAGTCTATTGTTAATAAGAATTTCTTCGACTTCTTTACACCAAGGTTTTAGTTCATTCTATATATTTTAAAAAAGGAACAATTATTAAAAATATCGCTTTTGGTCAAACGTTTTTGATTAAAGAAAATAAAATTACATGATAATTTTGTTTAATATTTTTCCACTTTGTTGCACATTGATTGGCAGAATAGGTGTAGTTATGCTCGCGTAGCATTGCGGAAGCACCGTTCCAGAGCGCATTTCTAACTTCATTAGCTATAATACCACGACTTTCTAGTTGTAAGACCTTTTCATTATTTTCTTTCAAATAAGCAAGCAAGAATTTCGTTGGCTTATTCTCCCATTTACAAGGAGTCATTTTATTATCTTCGTCAAGTGTTTCAGGAATAACGTAAGGTTCTAACATAAATAGTTTAATAATGAAAGTTTAATTTATTACAAAGTTAGAGATACAAGAAGCCTAGCAAGACGCACTTAATCTATCTATTATGAGCTTTTTTTTAATTGTAATTTTAATCGAAATTCACATAAAGATTACCTTGAATAATAAAATTTTCATTCTCATTTTGATAGTTAATTAACTGAAAAGCATTATCTTGTTGAAAAGGTGCATTATTATGGGCGTCTTGATTTTCAATTTGATCGTGAAGTGTGCAAGTTATTATATAAATTTTCTGATTTTGATTTGCATTGCGATCTGGAAGTTTTTCTTCGCAAGTGATATGAAACATGCCATTGCTAGAAGGGAACAAATACGAACCAAGTATTTGTTGTATCGTCTGAAAATTAAGAATTATATCATTCATATTTAATAACGTATTAAGAATACTTGATAAAATGCCGAAAGTGATATCGCACATGATATTCTGATAAATGGTAGGATCAATTTGAAGTTTAATTTCAATTTGTATTTGATTAATTGAGCTCGTCATATTTGAATACGTTTTGAAAATTCTGAAAAATAAATTTAACATTTTCACCTATCTTTTTATATTTTTTATTCTCAATTCTAAAAATAACTGTCAAGAATGGTATGATTTTAAAGATTCCATTTTCTAATCTAATAACTTCAATATTTTTGAAATAATCAAAATTGGAACAATCAAATCCAATTTTGGTAATTGTATCACTTTCATTCATTAAAGGAAAGTCACTCCGGTTTTAGAACAAGTAATTCCGTTGCGTTGCTTTTAAGGTAATATGACATTTGATATCATGTTAAGAAAAAATAAAATAAAATTGGGTCAAAATTAAAGTGCGTAACGTTAAACTTGTGTGCACTTTAATGAAATATAATAGATTTTAGACATAGTGGTTATAGAAAGCTTCTATTCTACCTTCGCAGACAGAATTTTAATTTATAAAATTCATTCTTACGTGTGTATTCTGCTATATTTGTCATTCCCGGACGATTGTAAATATTTATCTTTTGAAAAACACATCGATGTTCAAAATGAATAAACTGACGAATTCAGCCTCAATGTTAATCAATTTAGGTATATAACGCAAAATTTAACCTTTTACAAACTATAGAACAATATCTTGTTGATTGTGTAACGGCAAACCCAAAATAACTTGGTTTTTAATTTATTTGCGCGGTTCAGCTTAATACTGCTTTGAGTTTGAAGCAAGCTAAGCTGTTTTTGGAAACGAGCTTTTTGAACCATTGTATAAGTCAAACACGGATATGTTAAATGGCTAGACTAGATTAATTGCTTAATAGGGTTAGTACAAATCTGTCTATTATTAAATTCAGATTCTGTGTGAATAAATTCTCATTCAACATGATATTGTCATTTGTTAAATTTATTTCTGTAAGGTTTGCATTATTTTCACTTAAAATTGGTTCTTTTGTCATTGCGATTTTTAAAATTTCTGATAAAGGAGCTATTTTGATCAAACGAGCTTAAATAAACGCGCTTGAGTTAGAATATATATACTCTTGAAACATGTTTACGAAAGTTTGTGCTCAAACTCGACTCGGCTTAAGCATACTTTATTGAAGCAATTTAACATCCTTAGTTTAAATAGTCATCACGTGACTATTACAGTTTCGGATTAGAATAGTCAGACACACTATCTATAATCATAATTGTACTGTTATAATAATTAGTACAAATACATTATTAATCAATCCTATTTATTAATAGATTTATTTATAATCTACCAAGTTTGAATAAATTTGAAAATTATTTTAATGTTCTGATTATTTAAAACTGTATTTTGTACATATTGTAGAGCCTTAATTAAAAAATCTTTTACGGTTTATTTATTTTTATTTGACAAAAAGTGGTCACTGTAAATCCCACTTACAGTTTTTTTTGCCATTTTCGTTTATTAATCAAGAATTTCTTCAACATATGGCTTATAATTAAAGTCTGAATTAAATTTACTTTGTGTTCCCTTTTAATAATTTTTCACTTATTCGCGCACTGAACGGCAGAATATATGTGGTTATTTTCGTTTAGATTAGTGGAAGCGCCGCTCCAGAGCGTCTCTTTAACTTTGTTAGCCGTAGTATCACGAAATTCTTGCTGTAGGATCTCTTGTTTATGTTCTTTCAAGTAATTTAATAAGAATTTGATGGCATCTTCCTTCCATTTACATGGAGTTACCTTCTCACAACTTTTATTAAATTGGGAACTTACACTTTCGTCAAGAAGCTCAGGAGTAGCTTCAAATCCTGCCATAGCCGAATCTAAAAAAAATAATGGTATAAATGAGTGCAATATCAAAGAAATGCGCATATTTAGTCTTAATACAAGAATTTTGGTGAATCCAAACAGTATTTCCTAATTTGGATGGCGATCCGAAAAAATCCTTTTAGATTTACAATAATTTAACGTAACGGATTCAGTAAGCGTAAAGATACCCCCCCTCACAATGTAACTGTGTCTAATAACTAATGCTTCATATTTCAAAATAATAAAATAAATTGTCGAATTTGTTTTAATTTACTATCTATCAATTGTCTTGCAGCAAACCTATCATGTAAAAGTGTGATAAAATGACGAATTAACCAATTCTATCCAAAAAAAAATGCTCTCAATTTTTATAATTTCCCTGTTTTTCTTCTCGATTTCCATTTATTTATGAACAAATTTTGTAATTTTATTATGTCGTAAATTATATGATTAATTTTACTTGACAAATGCTACTGTATATACCCACAAGATTGAAAAATCTAATTACTTACAATAATTTACAAAATAAATACTAAAAGAATTGAGAATTATTCAAAACTTCATCTTGTCCAATTTTATCAACGTCCTAATGATAATCATGATGGGTGTTTTCATGTACATTATAATGTAACAATAAATCAAATATCTCTGGAAAGACTTTTTGATGTACATCAGTAGCCCAAAGAAAATCTAAAGAATTAATTAAAAAAAAATTTAATTTAAATCATCAATTTAAGATATTAAGATATTTAAATCTTATAATTACAATTATAAATTCTTACCTAAATGTTCATAATCCATGACTTCTCTTACAAGAACGGGAGCAGGTATCTGTCTTAATAACATACTCATATCAGCTAAACTATCTCTACCACCATAAAATATAGCTATAGGAGTAGTAATTTGCAAAGTAGGGAATTTTTGACAAGAGTAACCTAATGAAGTTGAAGTGTATGAATAAGGTGGCAAATCATTGAACATTTGAAATTTTCTCGAACCAATAATTTGAAACCAGTGCTATTATCGAAAGAAAAAAAAAATTTAGTCGAGATAATTTTTTTTTTTAAAAGAAAATATATTTAATGATAAATTTAAATCACTCACAACAAGACTTTTGGTACTTGAATAACTATATAAATGATAATAAGCAATAGCCTTTTGTGTTTCACTAATATTTTTACAATTCCAACCAAATAAAAATCTTAGAGCCAAATCGATAATTTTAGTAAAAATAGGTGGTGATAATACTTTTTGCCAAAACAATGCCATTGATAATACCGCTTTACGACCGAAGAATAAATATATTACATTTGGTGAAGATTTCATTAACGCATCAATAACTGGATTTCTCAGACCTTTTATCAAGAGATGTGATTTTAATTACTATTTCATGAAAAAAAATTTTTTAACTATGAAAAGAAATTATTACCTTTTGGACTTGTTGCTGGGGCTAACGCTATAAATAAGTTTACTTTATTGTTTAAAGTTGGATTAATTGATAGCGCAGCAAAACATTGAGCTGTTCCCTGAGAGAATCCAATATATGCTAATGATGGTGCTCCCGTTACTTCCAAGATGTACTATAAAATAGTTAATTTTAAGCTTAAAATGATTTAAAATCAATCAAGTAATCTATGTTCATACTTACATCAATAGTATCTGGTAAATCGTATAAAGCCATTTCATCCATCGAATATTCCCAAAATTCTCTTTCACTTGGATCAAATTTAGTATGCTTCATTGAATATTTATTACCTCTAATATTACCAAACCACACATCGTATCTGACAAAGAAATAAAAGCATTAAAAATATAAAAATTTGTCATTTAAACAACCTCTTGTTTTTTGTACTTACCCTGCATCAGCTAATAAACAGGCCAATCTATTTTCATATTCTACATTACAGATCCAAAGCTCACTACAAGTCATTAATCCATGATAAAGTAATACAACTGGTTTAATATATTTCTTTTTTTGAGGTGATGATTCCGAAAATCCTTGTAGCAAAGATGAAGATTTTGTTTGATTCTTCTTTATTTCACTTGGATTCTTTCGAATTGCTGATAATGAAATCCCATTATTTTTAAATACTGTTTCTAAACTAGGGTCTTGTTGTTGAGTTGGATTTAATGCAAATGAAGCAGGTGGATGTTTCCCATGAGGAATTCTTTGAACTCCCAATATATAATTATCTTTTGTTTTCACTATATGTTCTTCAACTGGATAATCCCAATAATTTGCTAATTCTTGGAAACTTTCCGCATGTTGAAGTATTTTCACTGGTAATGTTCTTTCATCTTTATATATCATCGAAAACAATCTATTTTAAATATATTAATAGAAACGAGAGAAATTAATAAATAATTCTTCTTTTTAAATATTCTTTATTAATTAGAACAAGTCATACCTTTGACTTTCATCTCTAAAATATTTTACTCCTGCACTAGGTAATAAATAAGTTACAACACGAAGTAATTTTTCAAAAAACAAAAAAACAATAGCGATAATTAATGCCTGATAATCTCTATAATTTAATCTTCCGATAATTGGCACTTCCATAGTATTTATAATAAGAAATAATATTAAAAATTCAGTACTCTTAAAATTTTTACGAGATAAAAAAAAAATTTGATTGTCCATTTTTACCTACCTATTTTTAATTTATACTTAATTTTCGATATTTCCCGCAGCAAAGATAATCAAATCAAACACTGAAATCTTAGATAAGAAATTCAATTCTGTATTTTAAAATTAATAGGTAAAAAATGAGCATAAAATTTCAGTAACGTGACTTTTGGTCACGAAATTTTCATTAAATCAAGAATTTAAATACTATAACTCATTTTTTGAAAAATCCTGATATTATTAAAACTTCTTTAAAAATTAAGCTTATAATTTCAATTAAATTCAAATACTTTTTGATAATAATATAAATACAATTTAATTTACCTTTCTTTGAATTTTTTATTATTATTAAATCTTTATAATAATTTTTTATTTTATAATAAATATAAGAAATTTTTGATAATAAATCATTTATTATCTTTATTATTATAATTAAATTAGTTTCATACTTTTAAAACAACTTTATTATTTAAATATAAGTATTGGTAGTAAATCATAAGATTTACTATAATTATTATTACATTTATTAGTAAAGTCTCCAAATAAATGCATATAAGAAGAATGTTAGTAAAATCAAATTATAAAATATAATAAATCAGATAATTCATAATGTATATTACTGGTTATATTATATTTTATTAATTATTTGATATAAAATAAATTAGTTTAAGAATTTAAAATTTTAAATATAAATAATATTATACAAAGATATTCTGGATTATATGTATGACTGTGATGACTTATATATCATATATATCTTCTATGATATATATGTCTTATATTTATTATATTTCTTTTATCTCATATTTTTATTATATTACATATATTTATTATAGTTATTATATTATTTATATTTCTTATATGTCTTTAAATACTTTATGTATTAAGAATTTTTAGGATTCATCTGATAAACCTTATTAGCTGGATAATTATTATAATGCTTATTTCTATTATTTTAATTATTATCATTATTTTTATTATTTTTATTATATTTTTTATATTTATTATTATTATTATTATTATTATATTAGCACTTATAGTTACAAATTTAGTTAGTTTATATCATAGCAATTAGTTAGCTATATCAAATTTATTTTGTATAAATAGAATAACTTTTTGCTCAAGTTGTAAATTAACTCTATTGCGAGCTTTAGTTTTATTACGAGTTCAAATAATAAATAAAGGAATAAACTTTGAAAAATAATTACTTTTTCCTTCTACATGTTTATCATCTAAGATTTGATTATGAACTATTAATTGACTTATGATTGAGTTCGTCACTTAGAATAAACAAATTCTCTACGTTTTTTCCTAAGTCCTTAAACTTTTAAGTTCATAAAGTTAAGTGAAGTAATTTTAAGGCATTCCAGATACCTGTAAGATGTGAGATTTCCTAAAATTATAAAGTTTGACAATAAGGAATTTACTTACTATAGCAACATAACTTAGCAAAATACATGTGATAGGAAGAGAATTATTCCTAATGACAACATCTATAATTAATTATGTCTTCAAGTATTAATAATATTTCTAAATGTTAATTACATATCTGTAATTAATTATATTTATTATAATTAATTATTGCCCTATAATTAATTTTACAATTATTTTTTTTTTAAAAAATGATAATTAATTATTATAATTATATATAACATTGTTAAGCTTAAACAATACATTGTTAAATTAATAGAATGTATTTGCTAATAAAAAGTTTAATTACGTTTAAATTATAAAAGAAATAAATATAGATTAATTATATTGAAGGATTAAATCATCTTTATTAATATAGATTTAAAGAAGAATGAATTATAAATGAGCAAAAAACAGTAGTTTTAGAGATAAAATATTATTGATTTATTAGAGATTTGTAATAACTTTGCTATTTATCAAGGTAAAAATACAGAATATATAAAAAATACATTAATATAAAATAGATATTTAATAAAGTAAAGAAATTAATTATATTTAAGAAATTACAGATATTAAAGAAATGTAAAAAATTATAAATTGCTAAAAAATTTAAAAATTATAGAAATTAAATATATAATAGAAGTTAAAATTCATAATCATTAGGATTACCATTTGTCAACTATATTTGGCATAGTATCATGTAGTGATACCTGACGAAATTACCTTTCTTAATATGATGAAATTGACGAAACCAAAATGATGAAACTAGTTTTTTTTATTAATTACAAAATTATATTTAACTTGATCTAAATTCCTTGAATTTAAATACATTAAAAATATAATAATTTTAGAAAATTTGTATTTTACGCATAATGCTTATAATGCATCTATACGCAGTTTTTTTTTGCGCATGTTAAAAAAATTGTTAAATTTATTTTTAATGGATGTATAATCTGCGCCTATGCATGCTTTTTGATGCGCAATCAAAATTTTCGTATGATTATTTAGACTATTTTGATCAATAATAAACTTTTTTATTCTCACACTCTTTCTCTCCTTTGCTTACTCTTTTTTTACTTTCTTTTCCTTTTCATCAAATTTTACTATCCCTTACTCTTTTTTCCTTTCTATCAATACAATTAATATGAGTGATTCAGAATCTTTTTCAAGTGATGATGATGAGTTTTTCACCACTGATTTTCCTGAAAGTATATCAGAAGATAGTGATTCTAGTGATAGCGAAGATGATAGTTTCTATTCTTATGATATAAGTGGTTCAACTTTAATATTAGATAATAATTCATTATTTTCCTCTTGGAAGATAGCTTTTCAACATATTAAACAATGGGCTCATCAACAAGGATTTTTTATTCGTAAAGGAAGATCAGAAAAGATGCAGTCTGAACGAAGAAAACAAACAATTATATGTTATTGCGAAGGAGTTCCTAATATTAAACCAACCAAACAAACAAAATCATTTCATACAAATTGTAAATGACATATTAACCTTTTCAGACCAATAAAAAACAAGCTCTTACAGGTCAAAAATGTTGGATTTAAAGTTACGTTAACGTTAGGGTTAGGGTTAATTAGAGTTAGGGTTAGGATTAGGGTTAGGATTAGGGATTAGGCTTAGGAATTAAGCTTAGGAAAATTTAAAGTAATGCATCGTAACTCAATTATTTTATCAATTTTGTAGGTAATGTGATTTATAAGGATAATTTTATTATGAAAAAATTATATTTATTTATGTTAGTACTTTACAATATAATTAATTAATATAATTATATGTGGGTGCACATAAGTTAATATACGCGTTCCCATAATTTTTAATAAATTTATTAATTTTTTATACCGTGCGTAAAAGTAATAAGAGTTTAAAATTTTATATATAATTTATGCATTCCTGCATTTTACGCAGGTGCATAGAAAAAAAAACTGATAATTTTATATATTCATATAAAAATATTAAAGAGACGAAACTTTTGACGAAATTACAATTTTTCAAAAAAGAGTTTAGTCAGGTATCTCTAGTATCATGCATTATAAGAAGACTGATTATCACTAATAACATATATATTACTATACCAAGTATAATTACATCCTTTCAAAATGATTTTTTACTTATTTTACTATAAAAAACAAACAAAAAAATCTATATAAAATTATTATTTTTTATTATCTTATTTTTGAAATAATAATATTTTTTTAAAAAAATAGCAAATTTTTATCTGAAAATCATTTTTAATTACTTATCTTAAATGATTTTCTAAAAAAAAAAAAATAAAATAATAAATTTCATTTCAAAAATTATTACTGATTTATTTATCCTATTAAATTTTTTTAAAACAAAAAAATAAAAATAATAAAATCATTTAAATTACCTGTAAATTTTACTTAAAAGTTATTCTAATTTACTTATCTTATTTGAAAATAAAAATGTTCTTAAATAACTAAAGAAAATATAAAAAAAAATGTTAAAAATTTATCTAAAGCTACTTTTGAATTATTTATTTTATTTTTAAAATAAGAATTTTTCTAAAAAAACAAAAAATAAAAAAAAACTAAAAAAAAACTAAAAATTTCAAACAAATCTAAAATTTATTGGTTTTATATAATTAATTAATCTAAAAATTGAAATTAATCTAAATTTTATTATTACTTATTAGATTATTTAATTTTATTCTAATTTTATAATTTATATATAATTTTAATTATTCTAATGAAATAAATACACTTTTTATCTTAATGATATTTATTTTATAAAAAAGGATTTTTATTATTTTTATAAAATAAATTTTATTATTTTATTAAATCTTTTCTTCATTTATTTAAATAATAAAAAGAATTATTTTTTTTAAAATGATAATAAATATATTTCTTTAAAATAATAAAAATTATTCTTTCAGAATAATTATGTTTCATTTTTAGAATAATTATTAGATTGTTTATTTAAAAAAGCTTATATCATTTATTAGGAATAATTTTTATCATTCCAATTAAATAATTATTATTATTCTTTTAGATGGATTTTTTATTCTTTAGATTAATTTCTATAATTCTTTTGATTATTTAATTATTATTATCCTTTTAAAATTATTTTTATTATTTTAATAACATATATTTATCATTTTTTTTAGAAAATAATTCAATCAGATGATTATGGTTTTTATATACTGTAAGGTTAATTTTGTTGTATATTGCATTAATAACTATTTAAATATAAATTAAATTAAATTAATTATATCATAAATTTTAATTAAATATTAAATAATTATTTTGTTAAAATACATTCTATGATTTTTGATATAATCTTCAATTTTGTCATTATTTATATTGATTAAAATCTAGTTAAAAATAGCTTATTGATATCAATTAGAATTTGTTTAATATTAATATATTATAAAATATATTTAAAATTAAATCTGATTTATTTAATTTATTATAAATAGTATTATTTATAAATAAAAACTGCTTTTTATATATATAATAAATATATATTATATAATAATAAATCAAATATAATATAATCCTATTTATATTATTATTTAAAACTAATTTAGTATATAAATAAATATTTAAATTAATATATATATATCGATAAAATAATTATCAAGTTTTCAAATTTCAAATCTATTTATTAATAAATTTGTATTGATATTATCATTATTTTTTAAACTTATTAATATTTTGAATAATAATTACATTTTATTTTATTTATAAACCATTTGTGAAGCAAAACCATAATTTTTTTCAAAATTTTTTTATAAAAAATTTATTAAAACTTAAAAAATAAAGACCAAAATTTATTCATAAATTTGATAATCTATAAATATTTTAGAATAATAATAATAAGAATCAATTCTAATTATCGGATAAAAAGTTATAATATAGAATCAAGGAAATTTATAATTCAAAAATATTACTAGTCGATTATTTTATGTAAACTGTAATAAGTTTTTTTTTTAAAAAAAAAAATACATGAATAGTAAAGTAATATAATTTAACAATTCAAAGTAATTTTCATAAGTCAGGTGAATTTAGTAATAAAAGTAAAAATGAACCTATTTTATCGAACCGATTTCTCTCTATGATCGTTTGTTTCGATCGGTTTATCATTATCTAATCCAGATAAAATTTTCATTTTAATCATTTTTCCGCCAAAAATTTTTATCAATAATCTCTTCTATTTCTGTCTTCCAAGTATTAGAACCTTTCTAAATTAAAAAAAAAAAATTATTAAAAATGAATGTCACTATATGTCAATTCTTAATCAAAGAAAATAAATTATTACATTATAATTCTGTTTAATATTTTTATATCTAACTGCACATTGCTTATCAGAAAACTTTAGTTTGTTTTGTTGCAACATATCGGAAGCATCCAGCCAGAGAGATTCTCTAACATAACCAGCGGTAGAACCACGCCTTTGCAATTTTCGAACCTTGTCCTTATTAACTTTCAAAAAACCAAGCAATAATATAGTTGGCTTATTCCCCCATCTATTAGAACTTTCTTCATAAACATTATGAGATTCGCTTTCGCATTCATTAGAAGCATAAGAAGCATCAGGAGTAAAAAATTCGGAAGCAATTTCAGATGAGCTTTCTTCATAACTTTTATTGAATTGAAAGCCTAAGTAAGGAAGGATGTTTTGAAAATAAACCTCTCTATCATATTGAAACTGATGATCTTCAGCGATTTGGGAAAAAATTATAGATTGTAAACCTGTAACTTCTTCAGTAATAATATTAAAACCTTCAATGAACTTCGAATTTAATTGAGAATTTTTGTTTGGTGTTAAATAATCAGTCAAATCGGTTTCTAATTGCTCTTTAAAATTATATTGACAATGTTGTTCAAACCGTTGAAGCTCTATACATATAGAATAAGTAAGTTTATTTGGATGCGAAAGCCGAATCTTTCGACAATGGACTTCATAGGTTTTTTGAAGATCAATTTGAAAATGATAATAGATAATAACGTAATTTTCCAGAGCAGCTATACTATTATCGTCTAATAAATCATTTGGTGGAATTTCTTTAAATATTATATGATATTGTTGAGCTCCGCATAAATAAATTAATGGGCGTTCGTAGGATGAAAATGCGTCATTAAAAAGGTTTTGATCATTAACTGACATGTTGTCACAAGCCATGAACGTCATACGAGATACAATTTACTAAATTATATGAGTAGTTATAATAAATAATACTTTCTGTCTTGTTACAAATTTTTTTTGGTTAAAAAAATTTGGGATGCCATTTTATTGAGGTATTTTATGAACTTTTTCATTAGAATTGGATTCAAATTGATTTGGATCATTTTCAATCTCATTCGCTGGTAATACGAATTTCATCAATCTGGAAATTATTTTCAATTAGTTTACTAAATAAAGCAAAGCTAATGATTTAGTAATTTAGTAATTTAGTAATTTGTAAAAAAAATGGTAGTTTTGATTTATTCTTTAAAATATACAACAGATAAACTTTGTGAGAAAAATTCCTCCGAATTTATGAGTGAGCCGATCCATTACCTTTTAAAGTAATCCGATCCATTACTCTTTGCGCCTGACCACAAAATAAACTTTATAATGTAGAAAACTATTGCAAACCAAATGTAGATTTATTTCTGGGCACAAATATGATTTTAGTAATAAAAAAAAAAAAAATTAACTCCCTAATATGTCACGTGGGGTGATAATAATCCAATTTCATTGATTTTTTTTACTGGCATACATAAATGATATATGTTTTGAAAATGATCCTACTTATCAAAGAGACACAGGCTTCGAAAATTTATTGTCTTTTCAATACAAGATATTATATTTTTGACCTGCCCAGGAAAGGCAGTATTATTATTATTTTATTTTTATAATATAAATACTGGAACGTACAATAAACAAAAAATTCTGAGCTCCATACTTGAAATAAGCATAAGTGATACAAGATTTATTAATTTTTCAAGTATTAATTTTATTAGTTGCGAAAAAAACTGCGGCTAATCAAAAACTATTATATTGGTTCAAATGCCCTTTCAAAAATAAGTTGAATTTAAATTACTAAATACTTTAATTTTCCTTAAAAAAACCAAATTAAGGCTTTCGTATTACTAGATTAATGATCCGAATCAATAATTCAAATTACTTTAATCCAAATCAATGTAAATAACCAAGATGACTTAATGTATCTACGAATTATTTTATTACAAAAAAAAGAAAGTAGTTATTGTGAAATAAATAATTTTTCAAATAAAAATTTTTTATTAATTTGTTATATTATATTTTTGAAGCATTTAATTTCATTGTAATGTCAATCTTGCAAAATAAAATTATGCCTCATACGGAGTTAACTTGAAGAAATTCTTGACAAACAATAAAATAAGGCTGACTCCAAAATTATATCAACCAAGGCAATCGGGTATTAACATAATCTGTATTACTATTTTCATCTGATAAATAATTAAACGGAAACCGATAAAATCCGTCGCTCTATTTATTCAATTTTTAATTTTTCTAAAAAGTAGGGGAGGGAACTGACGAAATTACCTTTCTTAATATGACGAAATTGACGAAACCGAAATGACGAAACTAGTTTTTTATTAATGACGAA